ATGAAAGTGATTTAAGAAAAAGGTAAAAAGTTAAAAAGAAAGAAAAATAGTAAAAAAAAAAAAAAAAAACGAAAGTAATGAGAAAAGGAAACAACAACAAAAAAAAGAAAAAAAAGCGGAAGAAGAAGAAGAAGAAAAAAAAATTTAAACGCGGAAAAAAAGACGAGAAAGAGCCGCCGACATTTTGAAAAAAAAAAAAAATTAATTGATCGTGAATCGACTTACGAAACAGGTAAAAAAAAAGCAGAAGAAAAAAGAAAACTGGCAACATCGGTAAAGAAAATAAAAAAAAAAAAAGAAAATTCTCTATGGGAGAATAATAATAAATTTATTTATTATTATTATTATTATTATTATTATTAAAATTTGTAATTAATCATTTTTGTTTGAACTTTTTTATTTTTTTTCTCCTGGAATTTATTTATAATAAAAAAATTCTGGAGAAGAAAATTTTATAACAAAACATAATTGATAAATAAATAAATTTTTTTATTTTTTTTTAATACGATCATTAATCCAATAAAAAAAATTAATTAATAAAGTTTATTAAAAAAAATTTTTTATTTCTCCAGCAGAAGATAATAATTACTCAGTTAATTGATTAACGATCGATAATAATTTTCTCTCATTCGTTATAACTAAAAAAAAAAAATTTTCCGGTTCTTTTCAACAATCCTTCTACTACTACTACTCTCTCCCCGCCCACTAAATTAACTACTAACAAACTCCTGGAAAAAATATTATTCTGGATATAACTTCCGAGAAAATTAAAATTAAAATCTTTCACTCGGAGGGAGGAGGAAGGGGAGGGGAAAGAGGGAAAGGAGGGGGGGCGGGATCTCTATTAATTGTCTGCGTGAAATCTGAGTCATACAAATAACACTAAACACCTTCATCGTTTAATTACCTTTTTATTCGACGTGTAAATAGATTGGTGAAAATAATAATAATAATAATCGTGGCAGGAAGGTAATAAAAATTATAAACGCATCCGTATCCGACCACGAAAGAGAAATATATATTTTATATATATAAAATAAAAGAAGGCGGTGATTTTTATTTTTTTCTTTTATCGAGAGAAATTTTTAACCTCGATAAAATAATTAAACATTATTAATTAATTAATTAATTAATTAATTTTTTTTTGAGGGAGGAGGGAGATGGGATGGAGAATGGGGGAAGGGAAGATTGAACGAAGCAGTGTTGCCAATTTTTTAAAAATATAGTTTTATTAATTAATTAAAATGTAATATGTATATTTATATAAATTTTTTGTTTAAAATAATTATATAAGTAAATATAATGAAAAAGGAAACGGAAATGACGTAAGAATTTAAAGTTTAAAAAAATAATAACGGAAACTATTCCGATTTCCGATTCGAAAATATTTTTCGATGGAACATTCTAGAAAACTTAAACAAAATTTTTAATAAAAAAAAAAGTAAAGGTATCGAATTAATAAAAAAAAAATAAATAATAATAATAATAATAACAGGAAAACCGGATCTTAAAGGTTTTATTATCGATTAACAATAAATCTGGAACGGAAGTTCAAACACCGTCTGGAAAAATAATCTCGCGTAAAAAAAAAGAGAGAGAGAAAACAATATTAATATTTAAAATATTATTTTGAATTCGAATAAAAAACGACTCAATTAATATTTTTTCTCCCCCTCCCCAATCGGTTCAACTCATAACAATTTTATTTTATCTAGTGACACGATTAAAAAAAAAAAATAATAATAATAAATAAATTTCAAACACGACCTAAAGTTGCAAAAAAAAAAAAAAAAACATTTTCTTTGTTCGTTTTTTTTATTATTATTATTTATTTATTTTCTTTTTTTTTTGAGTTTAAAACAAAAGATGGTAAAAAAATGAAAATAAGGAGAACAGAAGAAAGCAGAAGAAAAAAATATAAAAAAAAGAAAGGAAGAAAGAAAAGAACTTCATTAAATTAAAAATTTCCAACAGGAAGATTTTACTTTTTTTTTTTTATTAAAAAAAAATTTTTTTCTTTTCCTTTTAGTTTTATTTTTTTTCTTTTTTTTTACTCTTCGCACGATACCCCCTCTTCCCTTTCTCACCTTTGACCCCCCATCCTCCCCACACGCAATCAACTCCCTTTTTCATCATTTTAAACTCCAAAAATAAATATTTCGATATTTAAAATTTATTTTCATTTACAAAAAAAAAAAAACGGGAAAATTTTCTCTAAATTAATGACGTCATAATTCACACGTGGTAACTATCGGAAAATATTTTATTATTAAAAATCAATGGCAAAACATTAATTAATTAATTAACCTGCAACATAAAATCTTAATATACGTGTGTGTGTGTGTGTGTGTGCACAACAAACCAAATTTGGATTTACACGGTGTAAAATTTACGCGCGTTTGTTGAACTCGACAAACAAAAACAAAATGTGTACAAATTTATTCGTTAAATTTTAACGTACGGTTTTCACACGCACTCACGCACACGCGCCTGTTTTATATAAGAAT